TATCCCACATCCTCTCTCCTGATCGTTGTCCGTGGCAACATGCTGTCCTTTGGACCGCAGGTTGATCACTCTCTGGTGCGTGTACCTCCCTAGTGCCGTTTCCTCTGTAGGTCCAGTGTTGGGCTAAACATTGAACTCTGGGTATGGGTTCAGTTCTAGACCTGAAGGGGGACTAGGCCATATTCACAGGGGTTCCACCAGAGCCTTGTTTCCTTTATGCTTTTAAGTTTTGTTCCACATTCTTCTTCCGCTCTATCCAGGACCTTTTAAATTACCACCCAGTTATTCTTTAACTTCCTTCCATCCTGGCTTCTTTCCCGGCTTTCCCCACTTTCTATTATACTTCTTCCCCACCCACGTTGAATTAATCACCAAGTCCTGCCTGTTTCTAGTGTAGTGTCTTTTTCCACCCATCGAAGTAGCCATTAACCCTCAATGCGCTCTGCAATGTTTTGCTGGCTTGTGTGCACCTGCCACCACGACTTCTTTCAGAAATGTGTCAGCATCCCAAAGAGAAATGCTGTATCTTTTAAGCAGGAACTCTTCATTTCCCTTCCCTTCCGCCTGTAGCCCTCGTAACCCCTAATCTGCGTCCTCCCTGCATGCATTTATCTAGTCTAGATTTTCCATATAAATGGGATCATATATTATTTGTCCTTTTCTAGCTGATTTCTTTCACTCCGCATAATGTACGCTGTGTTCATCCATGTTATTGAACGAACCAGAACTTCACATCTCTTTTTAAAAAAATCATTTTATTAGGGGCTCATACAACTCTTATCACAATCCATACATACATCAATTGTGTAAAGCATATTTGTACATTGTCCTCATCATTCTCAAAACATTTTCTCTCCACTTAAGCCCCAGGCATCAGGTCCTCATTTTTCCCCTCCCTTCCCGCTGCCCCCTCCCTCCTGAGCCCTTGATAGTTTATAAATTATTATTATTTTGTCATATCTTGCCCTGTCCAATGTCCACATCTCTTTTTGGTTGAATTGTACCCCCTTGTAGGGAAATAAATACCACAATTCGTTTGTCCATTCATCAGGTGACAATACTTGGGTTGTTTCTACCTTTTGTCTATTGTGGACAATGTTGTGATGTGCATGTATCTGTTTGAGTTTCTGCTTTTTAAATCTTTTCAGATCTATGTCTCTAGGAGTAGAATTGCTGGGTCATATAGTAAGTTTAGGACCCCTGGTGGCATCATGGGTTACATGTTGGGCTGCTAACCACAACGTCAGCAGTTCAAAACCACCAGCTGCTCTTTGGGAGAAAGAGAGGATTTTCTACCCCCATAAAGAGTTACAGTCTTGGAAACCCATAGGGTAGTTCTACCTTGTCCTACAGGGTCATGATGAGTTAGAATCAAGCTGATGGCCGGGAGTTTGATTTATGGTAAGTCTACATACAAGTTTTTCACGAACTTCCAATCTGTTTTCTACAGTGGCTGTACTTCTCTAGACAGACAAATATAGATCTATACAATTGTCTAAATCATATATAAGTAATCGATTCAATCATTTAATATTCCATAAACTAGTAATAAAAACAAAATAGTCTCTCCAGGCACTTTTTGTGCTCATATCACATCTAAGTTATTACTGCTCTTTCGTGATTGATTTCCAATGTACCCTACAAAACTACACACAATTTATCTTGTTGAAATCAATTTCATGATTTTATTCTTCCATTCAAAAGATCCTTAAAGACTCTATTTTTCCCAAAATGGTCAAGCCCTGTTGTTGACTAATGCTGTCAACTGATACTTATGGTACTATGTGCTAAGCAAAACACCTGAAAAAAACAGGCCCAATGTACCTTCATTCTGTCTCTAACCCATCCCCCAAGAAAATGACCTATTCTCGTGGGAAATACCCTTCTCTTCAGTTTTTTCAGAGAGATTTCTGCAGTCAAAGTCACCATCCAGCCTCCTTGATGCAGCTCTCTACCCACCAACTCTTCAGTTCCCCTTATCTTTCTCCTGCACTTTATTCAAAAATAGTGCATTCTACACTCAGTATTTACCTGGGGCAAGGCGCCCTGGTGGGACTGGAGGGAAAGCACCGGACTTTGCTCTAAAAGGGTGGGAATTCCAACACACCAGTCACTCTGCAGGAGCAAGTTGAGGCTCTCTGCTCCCATGAAGATCTACTATCTCAGAAACCCTAAGGAACAGTTCTACTGGAATGGACTCAATGGCAGTGGGTTTGGGTTTGGGTTCCAGGTAGAGCAGTCCCTGGATGGTGCAGTGAACATACTTGGCTGTGAGCCAAAAGTCTGCCCTAAGGCACCGCAGAAGAAAGGTGTGGTGATCGACTTCTGAACAATCAGCCAATGAAAACCCTATGGAGTATATAGCTCTACCCTGATACACAGTCAACAAGATGGCAACTAGTAATGTTAACTAAAACCAAGCTCAGTGTTATAGAGCCAATCCTGACTTAGTGACCCTCTTACAATAAAAATTAACTGCCCCAAAGAGTTTCTGAGGCTGTAAATCATTACGGAAGCAGACAGTCTCATCTTTCTCCTGCAGCGCACCCGGTGAGTTCAAACTGCTGAGCTTCTGGTTAGCTCCTGAGCCACTAGGGCTCCTTGAGGATGTTGAAACTCAAGAGTCGATTAAACTCATGACCTAAGAAATTGTAATTTGCAAATGATGAGAAATTTTTACTATTGTCCTCAAACAAAATAATTCACAACAGGGAATAATAAATTCTTTTTTTTAATTTTTAAGTTAAGTCCCAGCCCTTCTGGAACTTATATTTCTCATTTAGGGAGGACAAAAATAAATATTTACTTGGGAAGAGATACGATAAATGAGTTTCACCCCCTCTTGGTCCTTCGGGGCTTCAGTTGGTAGTCAGTGCCAACAGGAGAATGAGCCAAGGGAGAAGGAGAGGAGGTCCGTGGAGAGAAGGCGGTCCTGGAGCTAAGGCCTGAAGTTGTGTGAGAGGGACGCTGAGGCTTTTGGGTAGAAGGCAGTCCAGGGAAGGAACAGGTGACGTACAGTCTCAGGCAGAGCATGCCCAGTGTCCTTGGGACCTCTAAAACCCTAGAACTTCCACTGTGATTGAGGTGCCCTTGCTGAGGCCTCAGGACCACACAGGGCGCTTATGCTAATAAGGTGCCTCTTGGTCCGAAAGACCCACTGCTTGATAGCAGCCTGATCCCAGAGGATGAGGATGAAGGTGGAGGTCAATCAGTTATGCCTACGTAATGGTGCTTTCTTTAAATTGATCCATTTCTTATTGTGGTTGAGGTGAAAGTTGACAGAGAACAAGTTAGTTTTCCACTCAACCACTTAATACTTTGTTTCATGACATTAATAACCATCCCTCTGATGTAAGAATACTCTTCCCACTTCCCCTCTGGGGACCTTGTTTTGTTTCATCGGTCCTTTTTTCCTGCCTCTGGAATTTGTTATTGGAGAAATGCTGCCCTTTGGGTCTCATTTGGTTGGTTGCTTCCACGAATCCCTTCCTCACAGGGGTTGTTGTTCATTTCATAGGCCTGTCTATTGTTTGACTGT